AATCACCATGTGAACCATTGCAACCAATTGGAGTAGATGTATCCAGTGTGAAAAGACACATATAAATGGTTGTGTCCAATGATGAAAAGAGACACCGAATCCGAAAAGGCACATTAATTAAAAACTACTTTTTAGTTTTTTCCAAAGGGTTGCACCCAATCCGAAAAGGCACCTTGTTGCCTATAAATACCCCCCTTTGGATCATTTGCAAATCATTTCATTTTCAATTTCTTCTATCTCCTTCTCTATACTTGAACCCAACCCAAGTGGATTCAAATCATAGGTTAAGTGGTCCGAACCACTTAGACCCTAATCCAATTTCATCGAGCCATATTAAGATTGGTCCGAACCATTTGGTTCGGATTGCACCCAATTCAGCATTTATATCGTATAGATGCATTTTTGAGTCAGAGAGAGTATTACACGGAGGAGGTTCGCCGTATCCACGAGTTTGTAGTGCTGCTACTGGTGGATGTAAACCGTTATATCCTGGGAGATAGACGTCACTGAGTCCGTTAGCACCATAGCGGGGCGAATCTGTCTTAAGGACATAGTATCCAATACTAGCCTCGATCCAAGTTCATTTCTTGTATATTATTATTATTTTATTACTTTATTTTGCATATTTAATTAAATATAGAGTTGCATATTTAATTAATGATTTCTTAGCATATTGTTAATTATCTCATGACATATTAGTATAAGGTTTGTTATATCTTAAATGTCACATGAAGCATATATTTTACTAACACTAATAGCTTTAATGCCCTGTTGAATAAATTAACTACAGAAAGTTAACAGATTGATGGAGTAGGGTTATCAGATTGATGGAGTGGGGATATGCAACCTGGAGCAATCTGGTGTCAATTCAGATGCCAAGGAAGAGTCTGCTAAGAGGGGCATGCAAAATGTTGAGAGCCTATTGAAGAGCTCACGATAAATCAATCCAAGAAGAATATGAATAAAAAGAAATCAAAGAAGATAGCAGAAGACAGATCTGCAGGAATCAGAAAATTGTCGTGGTTTTGAAAGGGGACACTCAAAGCCTATGGAAAACAGTAACACTATGACGTGCAGCCAGCAGACCTAAAACAGCTTACTCAGAGTGAGTATCTTGTTTTCAAGACGAAGGGGAAAACTCTTCAAAGATTGGAGTTAACAGTGTTAATAAACTAAATGGTGGTCCAGTTCTTTCCAAGATGTTACAGAAAGGGAAAAATCAGGTGGTCACACTGATAGAATGACCAGGAATATGATTTGTGGAGCTAATCCACACCCAAAGTTCTCTTCATGATTGGGTGTTGGAACTTTAGGGGCTTGAATAGGTCCCATATGCAAAAAGAAGTGAAAAATTGGATCAGAAAATACTCTCTCAATCTCGTTTGCTTATTGGAAACCAGGGCCAAAGCTGCGAGAAAGGAGTTGGTTACTAAAAAAATTAATGATAATTGGACATGGTCTAGTAATTTGCAAAGTCATCCTCTGGGCAGAATTATAATCGGTTGGAATTCAAAAACTTTACAAGGTTCAAGTTCTTCATGAAGGAGATCAGTGGATACTTTTGAAGGTTTATCATGTAGAGATCAAAAAATGGTTTTTCGTATCTCCAGTCTATGCTGCCAATCAAGTGGGTCAGAGAAGGAAATTATGGGAGGGTTTGAGATATTGTCTTGCTTTGGTGGATGGTCCATGCACTGTTATAGGAGATTGGAATGTCATCAGATATCAATATGAGACAAAAAAAGGGGGAGTGCCAGTTCCTAAAGGCATTGTAGATGAATTCAATAATGCTTTATCTGCAGTTGAGTTAATGGATCTTCCAATGATAAATGGGGGCTGGGCCTGGTGTAATAGACATGCTATGCATAAGAGGATCTATGCTAGATTGGACAGAGGTTCGATTAATAGTTAGCGGCTTCTGAATTTTCCAAACTCCAAGGTTTTACCAACAGCTGCAAGTTTTTCAGACCATTATGCAATGGTGCTGCAGTCTTGTGATAAAATTGCCTTTAAGCCCAAACCTTTTAAGTTTCAAAAGGTTCGATGCTTACAAGAGGGAATAAAGGAGATTATAAAGGAAGCTTGGGAGTTTGAAATCATGGTAATCCTATATACTTTCGATCCAAAAAGCTGCAGTGTCAAAGCCAAGGTTAAAGAATGGAATACCAGAACATTTAGACATGTTAATATCCAACTACATGAAGCTAGAGATAAGCTTGAGCTATTCAAATGGCTCTCCAATCTTCCCCAAAATGATGCTGAGTTGTGTTTGCCTAAGAATGAAGCTAGAGCAAAATTAGAATGTGCCCTGAGTAATGAAGAAGTGTTGACTGCTCAAAAAGCTAGAGTTACCTAGCTTCAAGAAAATGATAGATGCTCAAAATTCTTTTATCAAAAAATTTCCCCACAAAGATCTTATAATGCTATATCTGCCATTCACCATGAGTCAGAGAATTGGATTACTGATATGGACAAAATTAGTGACTGTTGTTGCTTTCTATCAAGACCTATTCAGTGGTCATGATTTGTCAAATACTTCAGCTATTGATATTCTGCTAGAGGTTGCTTAACTCAAGAAGAAGCTCAACTTTTGGAAACTATCCCCACTGAGGTGGAGATTAAGGAGGTTGTGGGTCATTTTGGCCCTGATAAAAGCCCTATCCTAGATGGTTTTCCCCCTAGATTCTTCCAACATTTTTGGAAAGTAGTGGGAAAGGAAGTGGTCTCTGCAGTTCAACTTCAATCTTTTTTCTGCCATTCGAAGCTGAGTAGAAGTATAAATTCCTCTTTCATTTGCTTGATTCCAAAAAACGATAAGTGCTGCAAAATTACAGATTGCAAGCCTATATCTTTGTGTTCTATAGTGTATAAAATAATTTCTAAGATCATGGCTAATAGATTAAGTGTCTATCTTCATAATCTGGTGGGGTGAGCAGAATGCCTTTATAAAAGGTAGAGTATTTCATTATAATATAATCATGGTGAATGAAGTAGTTATAAGCTTCAATTCTATGAGATCCCATCCCTCAATTGCTCTAAAAATTGATTTACATTAGGATTATGACTCTGTGTCTTGGCAATTTTTATTCAACCCTTTTCAGAGCATGGGTTTTGGTAACAAATGGATGGGGTGCGTGAAAGAATGTTTGTCTTCTGCTTGGTTTTCTATAATCATAAATGGTTCCCCTGGCTATTTCCAACCAAATAGAGATTTGTGACAAGGATTCCCCCTCCATCCTTTATTTCTTACTCTCATTACAGAATACTTCTCCAATCTGGTTCAAAAGTTAGTCAATGATTACAATTTTCAGTAGTATTCAGCAGTAAAAAAGGTGGGTTTGGATTTCTCTCATTTCTTCTATGCTGATGATTCAATTTTGATTACAATGTCAAATTATAGTACTGCCATAAACATCGTCAGAGTGCCATATGTGTTTAAACAGAATTCTGGTTTATGTGTTAATCTGGAGAAGAGTCAAGTTTTCTTTTCAAATACAGTCAAAAGGAAGAGAGGTATTATGAGATTATTAAATATGAAATCTGCAACTAGGTAATATATACATATATATATATATATATATATATATGCAAGGGCGGCTCAATACAATTTGAGGCCTTAGGCCAAAAAAATAAAGTGGTCTTTTAATTAAATCTATCTACATATTTATGTCACTAATATACTAATTATTTGTTTAGTTATTTTTTAACCTATTATTAAAAAATTTCTAAACTCTAGTTCCATCAGTAATTAATTGGCTATGTACTTTCTAATAGTCATATTTAACAATATAAATAAAAATTATAAACAAAATATATAATTTTATGATAACAAAAATTAATAAAACTATAAACTAATTTTAGTTATAGAATAATAAAAACTGATTTCGAATAATTTGGTCTAATGCTCCAATAAATTCTTTAATAGAATATAAGTGTATTCAAAATCTTCTTACGGAGTGAGATTGTGAAATTGTAAATTGTAACCTCGGATAAGATGAAAAAAAAAATTATAATGAGAGACGAGAAAAAATATGTGAGAAATAAGAAAAAAACAGAAAATAAAAATTAATAAGAGTCTTAGAAAAATATAGAAAGTTTCACCAATTTTCACTTTTATATATATATATATAGTATTTAATTTTAATGTGTGTGTATATATGCTGATATAATGAGGATGAAAAAAAAAAAAAAAAAAATAAGATAAGATAATACAAGGATAGAAATATTTTGGGCACACTACTAAATTTTGTATTTGTTAAGGTTTAATAATATAAGAAAATAAAATATTTAGGTAAGTTATAATATATAAAGGAAAAAAATTTGGGGGCCCTCAACAAAAAAAAAAATAATAGAAATCTTTTAGGCCAACTGTCAATTTGTCCGTACGTTGAAGTTTAATAATTAAAAGAAATACTATAATTGTTTTAGGAAAGTTATAATATATAAAAAAAAATAAAAAAATTATGGGGCCTTCTTATTGGCTGGGGCTTAGGCAACCGCGATTTAGATGCTTTCCATGTTAGATCTGAGTTCCCATGATTAATTTCTTGCCATATTTGAGCTTTGAAGCATGTGTATATATATGTGTATATATTTTTGTATATATTTTGAGTTTGATTCGATTTTGGAGGTCAAGTGCCTATACAAGTGATCAATATTGTGTTGTTGAGGTGTAGGGATATATATATATATATATATATATATATATGTATGTATGTAACAAAAAAACTCGAGTGATTCGAATTTACAACCAGTAACATCAAGAGATTAGATATCATAGAGTTCAACTCCCGTTCTCAACCCATGACCAATATAAGCTCGAATCAAGAACTTAAAAACTACGAACTTAACAACAAAAAAACACATTCAATTATAGCTAATACATGAGAATTGAAAAGATAAACAACACAACTACAAACTCATAAAGAACTACAGATAATTAGGGTTAACAGAAAAGATAATTGAATTGTAGAAATGGGTAACAAGAAGATTTTTCAAACCTTTGGAGACAACCCAGTTAGTCCCTCCCTCCAGAGCTTCAAATCCTTTGCTCGGTCACTCCTAAAAGGAACTAGTCAGGTGGATGGTTTTATATGCGTTGGTAAAGTTAGTTTAGTCAATCAAACCATGGTTAGTTATTTGCCCCCGCACACAGTTAATGTGTGAACTTGCTCTCTTTATCTAGGTGTTGGATGCTTAGTGGTTGAGCTTTTATGCTTACTCGTGGAGCCCAATTTTAAACAACATAATAATTTGATTCAGTTTCGTGCAAGTTTCTTCTCTTGAAAGCTTCATTATTCAACTCCAGTTACAATGATTGAAGTTACATTTAGTTACATCACCAAAAAAAAGGAATGAAAAAAAACAAATTGGTAAGCATTGACTTAATTTCCATTACAACTTTCTTTAGCATACTTTACCGTGCATTAATTTTTTTTCTTTTTGTTTTATGTACATATAACACCTATTACATCAAGAATGTATGTAACTCATGCATCAAAATAGCATCAATCAAGAATGTAAACATATTTCTCTTAGTCTAAGGCTCATTTTTTGTTTTGTTTTTATTTGTTTACGTGTATATTCGAAATGGTCCTTTTCAACTTTCCTTCCGGTCTATTTTTGTTTTGTTTTTATTTGTTTACGTGTATATTGGAAATGGTCCTTTTCAATTTTCCTTTGGGTCTATTTCTCAATGGGGGTATGCCTCCACTCTTTTCGAATGTTTATTTTAGTTAATGGAAATCACAACATTTATAGAAGAAAAAAAAAAAAAGGTAACATCATTACATCGATAATATAATATTAGAATTAAATTAATTAATTATGGAGTAAAAAGTTGTAAAAACTTTAGTCCAATTCATGTCGGCCAATTTTATTTTCCTTTTCTTTAGCCTATAATTTTTGGTCAGAGATTTTTTTTTTTTTTTTTTCAGTTAAATTTTATAATTGGAAAGATTTGGAATTTTTGTGTTATACCCCTCATATTCAAAGTCTTCTCTTTCTTCATTATTCTCAATTTATACTTCTCCACAATATTTTATAGGATTTTTTTTTTATTTGTTTCATGCAATATTAATTAAGTTCATATATTTATTGAGTTGGGATCCTCTCTGGTACAAAATTAGTGCTCATATTAAATAATTTCAAACTCTATCCAATCTCGAACTCAAATTCGAGCTTCATTCCAACATTGATGAGGAAAATTCATTATGAATAAGTCACGTTCATGAATTATAAGAAAACCTGCTTCCAAACTTCAGCATGAGCCTAAGAGTTTGAACCAAGAAGTTGTTCAACCAAATGGTAATAAATCTGCCTCAAGAATGCAGGATCACTGATATTGTTATTTTTTTTATTTTAAACTACTGATATACATGAATAAATTTGATTTTAATATTTTCTTCACAAAAACAAGGAGTAGGATTCCAACTTACACCAATTAATTAATAGTCGACCGAGAATCACTAAAATTCGATATAAGCTAAGAACTTAAAATAGAGTTAACAACAAAAGATGATACTTTCTCCGTCCCATTATAGGTGGTCATCTCGTAAGTCACAATTTATGAGATGAACATCTATAATGAGACGAAGAGAGTATTCAATTATAAGTTTATAACTAATATATGAGATCAATTGAAAAGAAAAATAATATATTTATAAAAAAAATACAAATAATTAGGGTTAAAGAGAAATGAAATAAAATGAAGAAATGGGTAAAGAAAATTATTCTAACTTTTGGAGACAACCCAGCTAGCTAGCTAGTCCCTCCATCCAGAGCTTCAAATCCTTTGGTAAGTAGTGAGGTGTTGGGTATTTATATGATTAGTAAAGGCAGTATTAATTAGCTAGTGGGTGACCATGCATACGTAAACCTGTCCTACCAAAATCTTGGTGGGATTCGTTTCTTGGAAGCTACACTACTATGTGGCTACAAAGGCCTAGAGGGTAGGACAAAGAAAATTGATGTTATAATATTCATTTCTATTACAACTTTATCTAGTATACTTTGCAGCGAACGACATTTTTTTTTTTTTTTTTACAATAATTTCAACGGAAGATAATGGGTGATTGGGTGTGTTGTTTTTATGAATATATAGCACTCATCATGTAAGAATAGGATGATTTTTATTATTATTATTTTGATTCCCTCTCTGTATCCCCGTGTTAAAATAATAAAGAAAAAAGGGAAAAAGTGTTAAATTCTTAGAAAATAAAATTCTCTAAATTAAGCAAGTAGAAAATTTCAAATTACTACGTTTTCTTAAGGAAGTTTAAGTTTTAACTGAAAGTTAAATGAAACTTAATAACTGAGACAATACAATTTGTTTTACTTGTTTTTTTTAAAAAAAATAATAAGAAAAGGATGTTTTTCAAAAAAAAATAATAAAAAAAAACCTTAGTTAATCAATGTTTTCTAACAATTATATTTATTTATTTATTGTTAAGTCCTATAATTTTTGACAAAATGATAGACCTGATACTGAATGATTGTTGCAATCCCCTGAATACTCGAACTTTATTATAAATTTATAATTTTGTAAAAAACATTATTTTTACTTTTCACAACAATAGTCAAACTCATTTATCAACCTCACCATAATACTTAGAAGTTCCAAAAACTTTAAAAAAACACAGTAATAGTGCCTACATTTCACCCCGAGCCCGCCTTTAACCAAATCATTTCGGTAGGGGTCAAATTCAAACTTTGACTTTTCAAATGAAGGATCAGGACACTTTGTGTTGAGAAGGATCAAAAATCTGATGAATTATTATAATATTAGTTATGTTTCAGTCTATGAAACACGGATACGGATATAAAATACGAGTACGACACGATACGGATACGGCGACACGGCAAATTTTAAAAAAATAGGACACGGACACGACGGGGATACGCCTATAAAATTATATATATATTTATATATATATATATATATATAATTATATATTCAAAATATAATTACTAGAATCTTGTACAGAAAAATAAAACAACAACAAAGAACAGAATCAATTTCAATAATTTCATCTCTGTTATAAGAAAAATATAAACAAGACAAAACAGAAAATAAATGAAAAGTAAAGTTGATCCAAATTCCAAACGAAGATGTGCAGAAGAGACATAACTATAATGAACTAAATATGTATATAAATAAACATATATACTTTTAGTCTTTCACAAAGTTTTGTTCATGTAACTTAAATATATATATATATATATATATCTTGTTCATGAAGAGAGATAATTGAAGAAGAGGAGAGATTGAGAGGAGTGAGAGAAAATAAATTTTGGACACTTTACAGAAGTGTCTGATCGTGTGTCCGAGCCTCGAACACGCGTGTCCAATAAAAAATAATATTTGGATACTTTACAGAAGTATCGGACACTAGTGTCGATGCCCGAAAAGTATCCGACACGGGTACTGGACCCCTGGGAGGAGTATCTGTGCTTCATAGGTTTCAGTCCAAGGCCCCTTTAATCAAAATTCGAGGTTCCGTAACTCTTTTTAAAAAACACTTCTTCACACATAAGATTTTTAAAATTCTAAGGGGAAAATCTGTCAATTCACACATGTGTAGAGATTTTTTCAGACCACACAAGAGGACAAAATAGGTGACATCGCATGGGTGACATCATCCTGGAGTCAAAAATCCCAAAAAATATCAGAAATTTGAAACTGGCAAGATTTATAAATTCTGGAAAATTGAGGGCATTTCTTTCATTTCTCCAAAAATAAAGCAAAAAAACTAAGTACAGGCCCTCCACCCCCCTCCACTTTCAGAAATCATTTGGAGCATTTAAATCAAATTTTGTAGTTTTCGAAATTACAATTTGACCCCCCCATTTTCTATTAAAAAAAAAAGCCATTTTTCTTCACATTTACTAAGGTGGCAAACGGGCGGGTTAAGTCAGGTTTAGACCGGATTAAATATAGGCAGGTTGAAAATTAGTTGTACCCATATTCAACCCGTTTGTAATGTATCAAATATGGGTTGGGTCAACCCGTAAGACCCAATAACCAATTTTCATCCTTTTATTCTTTTTCGTTTTTTTTTTTTTTTTGTCTAAATAAAGAAAAAAAATACATTTTACTATTAGTTCCATCTTGTTTTACTAAAAATTAGGGAAATTTTTTTTTTAATTGCTATGGCTTGAAGGTAAGGAATAAGTTTACAAAATCCATTAAGTACATATATATTCTTCAATATTTTTTTAAAAAAATTGTACTTGTATACTATTTTATGAAATTTCAACCTTCAACTCATATGAATTTGAGTTAAACAGTAAGACTTCACCCCCTACATGGAGGTAAGTCGACCAAAACCTATCAAATCCTCACCAAGGACTCAAGACAACGATAGTGATCCTCACGGACCAACCAACCCCAAAGCTGTGCACACTGCAACGAAGAGAAGAGACTCACTCCTTGTGAAGTCCCTAACACGAACCAACACAAAACCCTCGTGGAAACCCGCATACACACTACGTGCGACCGAGGGAAACGAATGGGGAAAACCAAACCTGGAAGTTATGCATATGACAAGGAAATGTAACTATCAAGAAATAAATCTACTCACATAGATAAAAATCAAAGGTACATGCAGCACGTCTCCACGTAAGCACAAAAGTCATGTCACTAAAGCGCAATAACAACATGGCATCTCTAAGCATATAAAGAAGGCATGCTAATGCCACACAACAAGAAAGCAAATGTGGATAGACCTCCACCTACTCATGCATCACAATAACATAAATCATACTACTAACATGGTAGTAAATGAAACTGCAGAAAACAAAATGATGCAATAATGAGCCTTATGGACATCGTGTCCTAGAGTGTCTAAGTAAAAGGAAGGACAATTCATAGCCATAAATTAACTCCAAAACCAATGCGACAACAACCTGTCTCAAAACAAACGTGAGCCTTTACCACAATGGTAAGACTCCAACAATCCAATGCCGAATCTAGAGGTGACGCTATACATGACACTAACAATGCAATGCTCTCACCAACCCAAAACATCGATCAATCGACTCGATCCCAAAAACATCATAACACAAAGAGAACTCAAATAAAATGGCTACTTTAGCCGTATAATCAGACAACCAATTCAATCTCCAAAATCGTCCTCAAAATGACCATCAATCACCGT